AAAGAGAGATAAATATTTACAAAATTAAATATGATTTACTACTTAAATACCAAAAATAACTAAAACAAGCAACATGACCCAAGATTCAACATTCACAGTTATTAAATAAATTATTGAATACTAATATTACACAAAAACGGATGATAAAAATATTTAACCCTTCCAACTGAACTACAAGTTTCATATAACGGTCTCCTGCCATCATTACCATGCATTTCTTTTCCTCACAAATTCACAGAATACAAAAGAGTGACCACTTAGTAAGTTAAAGGCAAAATGAAATTAACAAAATGTATTCATGGTCAATAACAGCCTTCATTCCCAAAAAATATGCTCAAATGGACAAATCCAGCGATCATTGGGGGGGGGATCATACATTTTTGTTTGATAATCAACATATTTGTTATTATATTGTATATTTTTTGTAGAATGTAATATACACAATATTAATGTTTAAATAATTACATAATTATAATATAAATAAAGATTTAAATCAGTTTTGCCAAAAAAGTGAGGTAAGAAACAAAAACTCTTAGGTCTTGGGAGTAGGGGGGCATGGCCACTCTGGATCTGTCACCAATACAGAATATACAAGGCAACCAGATTAGAAAACATTTATTAAGGCTTTGTATTTCAAAGGGTTTTCCTACTGAAAAATCACACTGAAGTTATCTTGATTATGCTTTATTACTTCTATGAACATTAAAAAATTATTGCACAAGTCTTTCAAATTCAATTATCAGAATTATTAATTAGTAGTCCTCTTTTCATTAGAAAAAAAGCATTGTAATTAAAATTTCCAGAAACTTAAAATTGGAATACAAAATACAAATAAAATTTACTTTATTACAGACACAAAAAAGAAAAGTTAACTAACAAAAAACTTAGGGCTGAAAATATACAAAAATGAAAACTGAACTATTATATGACATTTTAAAACCAGAACTTGAATACACAATAATACAAAGAATCCCAAAATATGGCACTGATTATGGTTATAATTTATTCTTGTTCCCCTCTTCACTCAAATGCCAATCTATAAGGAGTGTTATGATTGTTATGTCAGTACGCATTGGAGAGTAGAGAACATGTGGAATAAAGCGGACTGAATTGTGATATGTGTACAAGAACAAAAGTGTATTATTTCAATAACCGCTATAGCAGGGAGAATGGAAAAGAAAGTAAAGAAAAAGATGAATTGTGTTTTTTGTCATAATGACTAAACTTTAAACTCTTAATTAGTTTCTGAAATATATTTTGTGGGGGGAAAACTTATCTATATGATATTGACTCTCAAATTATGAATGACTAGAAGATTAACTTTATACAAATATTCTTCGCAATGTATATTACACAAGAAGAAAATTACACATTCTATAATGTCTAAGAATTTTTATCAGTAGTAGGCATTTTAAAATATTACGTCGGCAACTTACGGTACACATACTTTTAACAACTCATTTTATTATCTATGGGTTAAGAATATGCGTTAAATATCACAGGATTTTCCTCTTATAATTTAGTATGCTTTATAAAAAATTATTATCACAATATTACAATCACAAATGGCAACAGTCTCAGAACCATGTTTTTGTTCAATTAAGATGTAATATGTTAAGCAACTCATTCATATTACCCTCAGTAATTTGGAAAAGAAAATTGCAATTAAAAATGTTTGAATTCCAAAATATTCTTAGACCTTTAAGATACTTAATTTCTGAATGTAATATTTTCCAAGATTTAAAAGCACAGGGTAATTTATAAAACTTCACAAATTTCAGATGCCAGAAATTTCAATTTAATTTCTCGAAAAAGAACAATACAAATATTCACCTCTTTGGTTCTTATCACTTTAAAATGATAAAACATTAACAAGTGCTCGAGATACACACAGAACATTCAAACCCAATGGAGAAGGTAAGTTAAGATGTTTAGTGGCAAGCTGAAATGGTAGGTATGCCCCTACCTGGTGCGCTTAGGAGGAGCAGGGGCCTGTTTGCCCTTGCGATTTGTGGGTCGGCGAAGCTGAACTAGACTGCTCTTGGACGACAGGGCCGGCCCACCGGTAAATGTGCTCAGCTTGTTCACTGCGCCACCTGCATCTAAAGAAAAAACATGAATACACCACTGCCTTTTGACAATTATTCACTTCCAAGTAAATTCCTTCTCATTCCTAATTTATGTATTAGAATACACTTCCCCTATGAGACACTGCCTTAAAGTAGCACAGACTGTGCGAGTGAGAAGGTTTGCATGCTCCCATGTAGCTGAGGGTTATGACAGGGGTAGAAGTGTTGATTGGTTGAAGAATCGATGAACATAACTATTGGTAGGGTCACTCAAGTTTTACAGACCTCAGCAGAGTCGTCACACAAAGGGAACGTTCTCACCCCACCTCACATTCGACCGCCCCTCTCTTCCGAAGAGGATCTCATGCAGGTGGCATAATCTGCGTGTGCGGCAGTATGTGCCGATCACCCTCCGCTGCTTTAAGTGTCAAGAGGTTCGGCCATACCCAGCATGTCTCTGCATGGACTTGGTCTGTGTGGCCTGCACCAAAGAGTGACAACTCTGGATGAGAATCCGGCTCCAAATTTGCAAATTGCACAGGCCACCCACCAAAACAAATAAACTCCCAATTTTTGCAAAAGAAAGAAAGAGTTACAAAAATTGGAATATCTGAGAAAGTGCCGTTCCCTGAAGCGTGTCGGCGATTCTTTACAAGAAATCCGTTGATCCTCTTCATCAGTTTTGCACACACTTTGGGGATTTAAAAATCGACCTCGAGTTGCCAAACGAGTGCAGAGCCAACCTCTGTATGCAACATTGCCTGTCATGTGCTAGAAGATAACGTCTGCAGAGACGCAGACAAAAATCAACCATACCATCTGAAACAAAATAAAAACTAAAAATGTTTCCACAAACACCTAAAGGGATCATCCCGGGAAACAGGCTGATAGGACCTATTTGTAGATCCCAGTCACACGAATCAAAAGAACATGAAAGTACCCAGACACACGCGGCCTTTTCCAGCAGCAGTCTGAATGGAGTGCAAAATGGGATTTAAGTTCTCCTCAAAATCTAAGTGCACTCACTTCTGCAGGATATATCACCTCCCCGATCACCCATATCTATTCCTTGGAAACCACCAACCCCCCTTTGTCGACGCAGCTTCCTTTCTTGGTCTGACGTTCGACAAAAGCCTGACATGGCAAAAACATGTCTAAAACCTGAAGTCGATGTGTATCACCATTAAACCTACTTTGAAATCTCAGTGGTACGTCATGGTGCGCTGATCATATATGTCTCTTACAGTTATATAGGACATTTATTCGATCTATTTGGACTATGCCAGCATTGAATATGGCTCCTCCACACCTTCAACTTTACGGCCTCTAAATTCTATTCACCGTGCCGGAATCCGCATCAGCACGTGTGCCTGTCACAGGAGCCGTATCAAGTGTCTCTTGGCTGAAACTGAAGAACCGCATCTTAGCTGACGACGGGAGATTTTAATCTGTTCGTATGGTGCCAAAGGGTCAGAGCTGGATGGTCCATCTCGGAGAACATTCTTGTACCCAGACCTGCAACCATCATACTTACTGAGATTATCTTTACCTAAACTACCTGGTATCCGCTCTTACACTTTCTTGCGGGAGCTTAACCTGAAACTTCCTGTCCTTTTGAAACCTTCCCAAAATCTGGTCCCTCGTAGGAAACTTCTCCGACCCCTAATAGATTTCAGATTATCCAACCTCCCTAAAATATCAACTTCGCCCATTGTATATCTAAAAAGCTTCAATGAGTTTAGAGCATCTTATCCAGACTATACTTTCTTGTACATTAACGGCTCTGCCACAAATGACTGGCATGTGCGTTCTTCTATAGAACAGCCACATGGGTTTTCAAAATTTACCCGTACTGTAGCGTTTTCTCTGCTGAGAATATTACTGTTCCGCAAGCCTGAAATACATAGAATCATATGTCTTACGACAATTATGCATATGCAGAGATTCCCGAAGTGCAATCCAGTCACTTTTGTCTCTTTCTCCCTTGGATCGCTTGACTACAATACATGTTGGGGTACTGGAACATGTGGGAATCGCAGGCAATGAGCTAGCCAATCAAGCAAAATAAAATTAAAGCCACTCTGAAGTCATTTACTGACATTCCTTATGTCCTCTCAGCAGACTCTAAAGCGTATTTAAACACTCAATACTCAGTGCAAGGCAAACAGAGTGGCAGAACTCAAATTTTAAACTCACGAGAAACGAGTACACCGTTTACCTTCCGCTGAATCTTGTGCATGTCGGTAACGCCCGATAAGGTTTTCAAGTTTTCGGTTTCAGTAGCAAAACACTCGTGATAACACCCTTAGATGTAGAGTGGGTGAACACTTGAACCTGAACGACGGCTATTTCCTTCACTTTTAAAACTGTCAATCTGTTTGTCTGACCGACATTCGAAAGGGATGGTTCCAGTGCGAAGGCGAACGACTGCCTGGAACTTCGCTAGTTTCTCTACAGTCATTACTAGTTTTATTGAGCTAACGCTTTTCACTGATTTCCCTTCTTCGTTGCATGCCATTACAAGTAAGCGGGATTTCGTTGGCTTATCGCTTTCTTTGCAGAAAAAGCTTTCCAAATCGACGTTTCTTTCATTAAGGCTCTTCTTCCTTTGGGAAGAGAGCAAGGGTTGCTTTTGAATCCACGGGAAGGGATTCTAATTCATCCCCGTGATCCCAACACAAAATGGAGCTCAACAAGGGGACACATCGCTGGAATGCCAGTGCCCAACGGGGATATAGCAGGGAGTGGCATGGTTTATTCCTGCCGCACACTCGCATGACACCCCCACTCACCCTGGAGTTCAGACACAGGCCTCGCCCGAGCCGATTGATCGTGAGTGGGTTCGCTTCCGACAACCTGTCTAGAGTCCGAGGCCAAAGCGAGTGTGTTGGAAACCTACATGAAATGTTACCCAAAATACGTAAGCAACGCTTCCCTAAGAGCAAATTTGAAATTATCACAAGAAGCAATTGGGAAACAGGCAGGTCCCTCAACTGCCAGGACACACATTCCCTCTGACACGGGTCGCCGTGCACGGCCAACATAGGTGGGCGTTCAGCATACGGAGGGGGGAGGCAGTGAAATATAAGGGTTAGAAGACAAGAGACAAGATGTTATCAAAGAACGAGAATTAACGATGGGGAAGATAAAGATAAGTGGTGAAAGAAAGGAATACTTGAGAGTCCTCCATGCATCGTGGACATCATGGATCGTCATGCCGTGGACAGACCACCTCGACGGGTGTTCATACGAAAGGGGCATGCCCGGCAATTAGAGCTTTTGTGTTGAAGATTCGCCGTTTATAAGCCGTTTGTGTTTATAATTCGCCGTGAAGTTTGAGTGATAAGTGAGAATAAATTTTGAGTGAGTAATAAGTGAGTGATAAGTGAGTTTTCACAGAAAAGTTTTGAGTTTTCGAACAACTTCGTTAAAAGCATTTGAAATACTTCCAAATGCTCCCAAATGCTATAATGCATACAAATCACTGGAAATATGCATATTAACGGCGAGAGGGAGAGA